GATTATAATCTACCATGTAGCAGCAGCTATTGGCAGACCTGATTATCATGCTGCATAGTCCTCTAAAGGGACAGAGTTAAATATGGAGAACAAGTTCATCTCCCGTCCTAAAATTACAACAGTTTTATTGAGACCATTTTTATTGATTTAAAAATCAAATTCGCTTAGGCCCTCGGACTCAAAGATAGAGTAATATCTTGAAACACCTTAAGCCTCTTGTCAATTTTGCTCTGGAATATCCCGGAGGTGTTATCTGACTCCTCCGTCGGGCCAAGAATGGCAGCAAGAATAGCATCTTCAAAGTCCTTGTTGTTCGGCAACAACTCTGTCAGCTTGTCCCCTTCACTTTCCGCTGAAAGCCTTCTTGTCTTGTTCTCGGGCACTCCTGATTCCCTCTGCATCGTATTATTAATCTCCCCTGCCTCGTTCACTCTCATTGATCCGGCAGCATTTCCAGACCTTGTTCTCTTTAGAGTCTCCGCAAATTGATGATTATGATGATGGTGGTGGTGGTGGTTCCCAGTTGGTTCTCTTAATAACATCGGCTCTTTACTAAAGGATTTTGAAGCATAGAATGGCGGTGCCGCGACATTAAGGGAGTTCCCTAATGGTGGGCCAACGTGTTGTTTACTACTAATAACACCCTTCTGCTGTGGCGGCATGAAATTGGGTACTATATTCGAATTCATATTCTCATCAGCGAAATCATCTTGGGCTTTGACGGAATTAGCATTGGTATTTGTATTGGTAGCGGAATTGGTATGATCTTTACAAGGTTGAGGCTGCCAGATTGATGAAGAACCCAGAAAAGCTTCGAAGAGCCTGCTCTGTTCGACCCTGTCAACCCCTCCCTTGTTCATCGTTTCGGACTCCAGATCCTTCAGCATTTGCTGTGCCCTCTCATAGGCTTTCAAATGAGAATCTGAGCCTCTTGGACCGTCTGCAACTGCCGGCTTTACCCGACTCAAGGTCTCTTTAGCCTCAGAAATTCTCCCTTGCTTCATCAAGCAGATGCCCAAATTGCACATCTTGTTGTTATCCGGCGCTATTGAAAGCGCCCTGCGGTACGCATCTTCTGCTTCGATGTAGTTGTTCTGCTGCATCAGTGCCCACGCCAAGTTTCCCTATATTCATTCAACAAGCACATGAGTTAGCTTCCTGAGTCTTAGAAAACCAGAGTAAAAATTATCCTCGCTTCTTGTTCTTTCTTACCAGCAGTCTAGTGGCTTCTTGCTCCACAGAGACTTGAAACTTCTTTCCTTGGGATCTAGCCGTCTTCGTTCTCTTGCCATTGAAAGCCAACCCTTGTTGGATTAAGTACAGTTTGTGCTTCAAGAGAATTATTTGATCATCCAGTCTCCCACACCTCTGTCAAAGAAAAAGCTTGTGAGTATTGTTGGTGATACATGGGGGAGAACAATTATATTGGGAGAAGTAAATAACCTTGTAAAGATCTAAGAGGATATTATCAAGAGATTCTTGGGCTTGATCTGAGCATTTGCTTCGAAGCGATTTGATAGCTTCAATGGCCTCTTCAGCCCGATTCTGCTGCTTCATTACTATAGCCATATCTTTCAAAGCACTGTCCACTCTGTCTCCTGCATTTATAGCTGCCCAAAATAGGGGAATGGCTCTCTCTGGGTCCTTATCCACCAACTGAACGAGGAAAATAGTTAAAAATATGACGAACTAAAGAATCTCGTTAACCTAAACATGATAAAAACCAAGAGAGGATCAAAATTTTAAGGAACCCGAGAGACTTGCCTGGACATTTTTGGCTCTGACGTAAGGAGTGTCACCAACAGGGACCTTGTGGGTCACATGGAAGGATTCCGAGCGAGTTCTTAGAACCCCAAGAGGCTTCGCTGGCGAAGAAGGAGCAGACTTGGAGGGTCTGAAACCAGGGGGAGCATTCCACATGTCTTGGAACATTGTGAAAGCGGAAGACTATCTGTAACGGGGATTATCGTTCTGTAGAAAAATAATTGGACCCAGAATGTTGTGGAATCAATCAGAAGCAGACGACTGAAAGAAAGGAAGTAGGATGAGAGGACGAAGACGAAGCGGCAGAGGAGTTGAAGGAGGGTCCGACTTAAATGGGTATAGGTTTGAACTTCTTACCGTTATAAAACTAGCCGTTGGGACGCACAGGGGAGATCGCCCGGAAACGGGCTTGGGCTCCCTTGAACGGCTACTAAACTGAGAGTCCCATAAGTCAAATATATTATTATATTCGGTGTATTGCAGGAGCCAATCCAACATAATTCCAGAATAGTTTTTTTTGGGACCAAAGAATAGTTTATTTGTAGATAATTCTAGTATTTTTTGGGTCGGTAAATAATTCTAGTGTGTCGATGTATTTTATTATTAAGACTCGATATTTTTAAAATAAAAGGAAAATACTCAAAAGAAAAAAAAACTACAATCAAAGACTAATTTAGAGTCTCTAAATACATAAAAAAAAAGCTATAGTCTATAGTCTATAATTTGGTAATTACAGTTAAAATTTTAAATTTGTATAAGGTAATCATTTTCGCAACTTTTTATTTTCTTTAATTTTGACTCACTGGACACTTGTTCTGTGGACAACACAAGCCGCCGCCCGCAAATTAATAATTCACTTGTACTGAGCGGAAAATCTTTTAAACAAGTATATACAGAGAGAATAAATTAGAGATTTGACGTAATGAAGGTTGGACCAATATCTATATATATAGATATACTTATACGGAATTGGATCTCTTATTTATTCTTCCCCTACTACCCTCCTTTTCTCTTCACAACCATTGGATCAAAACTCCAATGATTCAGATTTAATATTTTATAACATTTTATAAAATAAATATTATGATAAAAAATAGATAAATAAATTTAAATTGTTAAAATCTAATCTGAACAGTTCATAACTATAGACTGTTATTAAAGCAAATTTTTTAATTTTTTTTATTTCAATTGTAAACTATTCAGACCAATTTTAACAGTTTAAATTTATTTATTTTTAATAACATTATTTTATAAGATGTTAAATCTGATCATTGGAATTTTGATCCAATGATTGTGAAGAGAAAAGAAGGTAGTGGAGGGGAAGAGGATGGGAAGGTATTAGAGAGAATTCAAATCCTACTTATACATATAGAATAAAGAAGGAACTGACGATTAAAAAAGGGGGTGAAAATATTTATTTCGTTTAATTTTTTGGGCCAGTGAGATGCTTCCAATTCTAAAACTGATCTCAATCAATTGTAATGATTTTGACATGTCAAAATCTATTAAGATGACTTATTTATTATTTTTAAATTCAGCAGGCATTTTTTTGGGGTTAAATTCTCGTGATTCTTGAAAACTGGTTGGTATTAAAAAACAAAAAAAAGTTATTGCATGTGCTTCAATTCATATCTCACATTACTCGTCAGTTGCCACATGAGCTACCTTTACGTGGCCAAGTGATTGAGATTTGTTTATGTAGTTTGAGATCCTTTGTTTTTATTTTTGTATTTTGTTATATTTGCAAAGTAACCGTATCACCTCAAAATTTTCGTTTAGTTCAATACTAATCTCTTTTGTTTTCCTGCGCAGCTATATCTGTTAAATCTTTTATGTTCCTTGTGTTAGGAAAACCACGGTCTGTTGCTGGAACACTGTTCTACATTGTTGCGGGTCTGCTGATTTAAGCATCTAGTGTCTGCTGTCTTAGAATATTTATACGAATCTGCCACATATCAACAAGATATTAGTTTATTATAGGGAGCCGAGAGCTGCATAGTCCATAACTATGGAAGCCAAAATAGAAAGAGACCAGAAAGATCATGAGAAACAAGCTGCGCGCGATTCCCCTATAAGCATAACGTAGTTATAATGACTGCAACTGAATCTTGTTGACGATGGGACGAGCCTTGCAGAGAGCCTCCAATGGAGCGGCTCTGCGCATCACCAATCCGTTAGCTGCCGTCATGTCGACGGCTTCCCGGCCGATCCTTTTCCAATCAAAGCACTGAATCAACACCGCCGCCGTCAACCCCATTGTTCCCATCGCCAGTGGTTCTCCCGGACACGCCCTTCTTCCCATCCCAAATGTTATCAGATTGCGCACATCCCCTTCCCCATTATCGTACCTCTCCGGCTTGAACCCATCTGGCTCAGCCCGTAACTGTGGGTCCCTGTGGATCCCATGCATTCACCAACACCATTGTGCCACGTGGCACATCAGACCCTTCCACTCTGCAATCTTCTGAAGGCTGAAGCCAAATGCACGTTCAGAAATGGGTTCGGTGGGAAGACTCGCATACTCTCGTTGATGATGTTGTGAAGGTATCGCAGTTTAGGCACGTCCGCCTCTTCCACGAGCCGTTCTTCTCCTACCAAGCTTTTAACTCTTCCCTCGCTTTCTCCAATTCATCTGGATGGTTTACCAGATTCGCCATCATCCATTCTAATGCTGTGGCCGCACTGGCACCAGCCACCATAACCTGCAAAAAATCAAGCACTTTCACAATCGTTTCCCATAGACCCCTGGTGAAATGTAACAAAAAGCAACGGCACAATAACTGACCGGAATAAGGGCTTTCACAGCTTCGTCGGTGTAAAATTCGGGTTCTGTTTCTTGGGATGAGAGCAAATGATCTACCATGGTGTTTTGGCGTTCCATCCCTCTCCTCTTGGAACGATACAGGTGGATGAGTTCGTTGAACGAATCGTCCAGCCTCTTCTCAATATTTCGCAGCTTCTTCGGGTAACCTCTATAATCAATCCACCGAAAGAAAGGCACGAAATCCCCGAAGTTTGACTCATTGTTTCCCAGGTCGAAAGCCGAGCTCTCCTTCATGACTTCTCTGAACCGCTTCACCTCATCCAAGTCGGTCACATCATATTCGTTATTGTAAAACCACTGTCCCCAAACCATTCTCATTGCCGCGTTAAAGGACATATCCACAAGCATTGACCTCAGCTCCACTTTCGCAAAGTCTTGGCCACACACCCGGCGCAGCTTACGTAGCAACAGCTTAATCTCGTCGTTTCGGATGCTGAGGAAGGAGTTGATACGTTTCACTGATAACATGTCGAGGGAAATTATACGACGTAGGTTGCGCCATTAATCGCCGTAGGGTGCCATGACGACGGTGTTGTTGTTGTAAGGAGGTGCTTGGTCTTGAGGAGGGGAAGACGGTTCGCCAAGATGGTGACGTTTTTAGCGAAACACTCTTGACAGCCGATAGAGATGAAACGACGACGGCAAGATGAGACCCAAAACGGAGACTGTAGATGGGGCCATAGTTTTGAGAAATAGAGTCGAAGAAGCGAAAAAGAGGTCGTTCCAGTTGAAGGATGTTGCCCAGTGTCGGCAGGGAAGGCGGACCTGGAGTGATGTTTTTGGATGTTGATCTTGTTTGGAAGAAGATCCTCAAAGCCACAAAAGTAACAAGGCAAAGAGCAGCAGAGCAATACATCAAACGATCTTCCATAGTTTACTTTTGTCCCTCGTTCTTTTCGGGACGATGTATGAATCCTTTATGCACGCCTTCGTCATACACACACACGCGTGCATATGTCTGGGAAGGTGGAGTTGACACTCATCAATAGCTTAAGACTAGAGAGGTTACAATTAGTATTGTTAAATTAAATGTGGGATATGTTCATGGCTGCTTCTCCTTTGACGTCATTCCTAATCATTTTCAATTTCCATTATATATGCATCAGTGCATGGTCTTTTATAATGTATACCTTTTCAATGGTCGGGTACAGATGTACATTTTCTTTGGGCCTCTTGGTTGGATGAATCTGCTTATTTAGAAGGAAATGAGTGGAAAGGAAATGAAGGTTAAGGAATAGGGTAGAAGGATACAATGTACGGTACGCAGTGAAGATGAGAAGACTCGACGAAAATAACAAGTCAATTGGTGGAAAAATAGAATGTATGAACCACTTAAATTCAGAATCCACCTTAATATCCTCTCCTCAGTGTGGAAAATTAACAGTGATTTTTAATTATTATTATAATAAAAATAGGAAGAATGACACTTAAATTCTAAAAAAATTAATTTAATAATAGTTAAATCTAATTATCCAAAATAATTTTACTAAAATAAAATCGCAAATATATGGTTAGACGGTTATAAATATAAGAATGCTAGTTGTAAATCTGACATTGAATTCTCATAAATACCCCCACTGATTTGGAATTAAGATTCCCATATTTGTATCTATATAAATTATTAGTAATGGGGACACATAAAAAGAAAAAGAGGGGAAAATCACAAAAAAAACTTTAAAAATAGAAAAATTGCAAATAGGAACCAACTACAATTTAATATGGGTTTTAATAATTGATAAGCAAATGACAACAAATTTTATGAACAAATCCCTATGTATAATTTTTAAATTTCCGTGGCCTTTTTTTCCTGCAATTTTTTCAAGAAAAAATATGCATGGAAACTTGAAAATGGATTTTTTTTTTTTCGTTGTTATTACTGCACGTCCAAGGTGATGGGATACAAGGTGTCAGGGTCAGAAATTGGATAAGAACTATTTAATTCAACGGGGACCATAGTTATGAATTATGTCGCCTTATATTGATGAATTTTAGACTCGTTTATTTTCGAATTTTTCTTATGTTGCTCTTGGCAGCGACGACTCCATTGATGATAGAGGCTGAGGTTGTATGTTCCGCTAGACTAGATGACTAAAAGATAAAAACTACGTAACACAGCGCTCCGTGCTCCGGCAGGGCCTCTGGCCGCAGTAATTTCGATTAGACTGTTAACAGACTTTGATGAGGAAAACTTCACAGGGACACGCAAACTGTGAAGACGGACGATGATGCAAGACTACCCAGTTTTTCCGATACAACACTGTTCATACTGGCCTATTTACGGAAATAGATATGGTAAATGCAACCATAAGCAGTCCCGAAACCTCTTGCCAAAAGTTTGCTCCATCTCAGTAAACATGATTTCAATCTGAATTCACCACAATCATCAGCATTGCCTTTCCCATAAGGATTATCACCAGACATTCATGGCATAAATTTAACCTATAGTATAGCAAGTTCGGCCAATACCTAACAACACAATGTGGGAGTAAAACAAAACACAAGGGGAGAAACAAATCATGTCTCCTTCGGAGGGGCTTTCTTTGCAGCCTCAGCAGCAGCTTTCTCCGCTTCAATCTCAGCCACAATGGCATCAATTTCAGCTTCCTCAAGTTGCCGCAGACCATGCTCCTTAGTCATCACAGCAACTTCTATGTTCTTGCCTCCACTCTCAACAACCTAATTACGTACGCAAAAGGGGGGAAAACAATTACAACTGACGTAACAAGTTCCAGTGTAAAATATGCAAACCATCGCTCAAAGTACAACTATAGTAATGCATCAGGCACAGACAAAATCTGATCCATTTACAATTGACAGTTTTGAACACTTACAACAACCGGAATTTTTATTAGGTTTACTCAAGATTTTGTATGAAGTACAAGAGACCTCTGACATGCGAAAGCATTTGTGTAGGAATCGCTAGAACCAAAATTTCGATAATGAAAAGCGTGAATGCATTGGCAAGCCACTAAACTTGCCATACCCACAGAAGTTTTGAATGCATTGATTACCAGGTCTCAACCTACCATTAAAAAGCACATGAATTCTTATTCCAACGAAAAGCATGAATAATTCAAAATCAGAAAGACCAGTGTGCAACAGTCATCTTTCCTCCCAGGAATATTATGAAAGTACGACTCCATGATGCCCTCCCTGTCCATATGATCCGCCCCAAGAGCCAAAAAGAGAACTCAAATTACTAGCACCGGGGCAGCATCAACTCGGGCCCCATAGAAGCCTACACTTCAGTTCTCAATGTTAAGCAAACACAGCAGCAATGCTAAACAAAGGAATGTCAGGAATGACTTTCAGCCATACTATTGCACTTCCATAAACATTATATATTTAGCATTCTAGTTTATTCGTAAGATGGAGTTTTGGACACATAGCATTGTTGTTAGTTGCTTGAACCACTACAGAAGCAACTCCAAATTAAATATTGGAAAACTTGGAGCAAGTAACCACAAGTCCAAACTAAATTCTGCATTTTTTTGGCAAACACCCTTTAAATCAAAATATTTCAAACTATTATTTAATGTTTCTTTGAATCTTATGATCTTATAGATTTATGATTCATGGTTAAAAAAATTAGCCTTTTGATTCATGATTTATACATAACTGTATAAATGACAAGTTTGACGTATTCCAACAACATTCATATATTCCATGTCTAGAAACCTTGTCCAAATTTTAAGACATCAGATCTATGAAGACTCTCCTACAATGAGCACCAGTCAAATTCTTGGCAAATGTCACTGGCCTGCTGTCTAGGTTAGGCATACAGATTCCACTATCTTCTGCTTTTATAAATGTCTCTTCCAATCACTTGACTTAGAAATCAACTGAAAACACTCTACTCTAAAAGTTCCTCCCAAGTCATTGACAGCAGACTATTCAGAGAACAGATATCTGGAAAAAGCATTAAAAAACAGAGACAAGATCCTATAACTGAGACATCTTGCAGAAAGAAGGTGCAAAGATAGATAATTTGAAGTATGGATATGGTATAAAACACAGAAAGAATCATAAAAAATCTCACTTCAAGCAAGGCTCGAATAGCCAGCTTCACAGTTTCTTGCCCAGAAGTTTCTTTATAGTTCTTCTCTAAGAACTCTCGAATTGAATTAGAGTTTCTGCCAGTTGCATTAGCTTTCCAAGCTGAGAACGTCCCAGAAGGATCAGTCTGGTACAGTGACGGTGTACCAGTGTATGGATCAAAACCAACAATCAAGGTTGAAAGGCCAAATGGTCTTACACCCACCACTTTGAGTGTACTTTTGCTGAAGACCTGCAATGAAACGAGTTATGTACTCAACTGTAACTGGGTCCTCAAGAGTAAGCCTGTGACTTTGACATTCAACCCGAGCCCTGTTGACTAGAACTCGGGCATCTGCTTTTAGTCCTGCACAAGCAAGGGCAATGTGATCGTCTAGACTGACAATCTTCCTCACCGATCTGCAAGTGAAAATGCAACAACATCATGAAAAAGTGAACACAGTAGCATACTTTCCAAATTTTTAAAGATAAGTTGATAAGTCTTGCAAAGATCTATTGTCAAGAGAAGACCAATATGAGACAAAAATAGGAAGCATAGATGCTAACCTGGGCATAAGAGTTGAAACAAAAATCAGATACAGACACTATACCCATCATTTGCAATGGGTAACAAAAACAAGGCAAAAAATTGTAGCAACATTTAGAGACAGACACTATATCCATCATCTGCAATGGGTAACAAAAAAACAAGGCAAAAAATTGTAGCAACATTTAGAGACATGTTAACCAACCTACATACCAATAGATCGAATTCTTGGTAAATTGGTTCGAAATAAATATTATATATGTCAACGACGGTAGAAAAGTATCTGTGGTTTTAGTAAATATTATCTAAGTTCAAAGCATAAAAAGGTTCGAACACATACAAACCGCTTGCACCAGAATTTTATTTTTAGCCAAATCGGAAGCGTAAGGGATCAATCCCACAAAAACCCAATTACTGCTGAAAAGATCATTCATGCTGAAGTCAGAGTATAGACGGAGCAGTAAACACCCGCGACTATCCAGAAAAGGGGAAAACCTTAGTAATGTTAGGATGAAAAATAAGGAAGTACCTGGTGTCTTGAAGTTTGGCGGTGGACTTTTTCTCGACGCCGAGAACGACAATGTCAGTGCCGCGGACGCCAACGGCGGCGTTGCCCTTGCGGACAGCTTCGAGAGCGTATTCGACTTGAAATAGATGGCCATCGGGTGAGAACACTGTTATAGCTCTATCGTATCTCGCCATGTCGATGAGATTCCCTCTTTATCTCCTCCAATTTTACGAAGGACGAGCTTTTCCTTCTCTGCTGATTGACACAGCAACCGACGATCGTGTTAAAGCTTCGAAACCACGGCAGCGGAGAGAAGCCCGGCGTATTTGTCACCGCGAAGTAGGCGCGTGGCTGCTTAAGCAGCAAGGATACTACTAATCATGGGCTCTTGTGGGCCTTAGGCCCGTAATTGGACTAACAATTTGACCCGTCTTATTGATACTACAGGCCTAATATTTCAGTGAAGCCCGTATAAAGGCGATGGCCCAACTTTACATTTCCAAGGCAGCATCATCATGGTCAAAAATTGACCCAAACAAATCATCCTATCAGGGATAAAACGCTCATCATTCTTTGAAAGTCAGGTCATGTGCTTACGTCCTCAGATGCATGCAACAATAGAATATTGGATCCAACAAAAGTAAAAATTTTACCATGTGATCTGTTAGAATGACAGGAAAAAGAATGCTACTCAGCAAGTAAATCAATCTAGAGAGTAACCCGTGGTCGTCTGGATTACCCCACATGTATTTTATATATTTGTTAAATATTTTAGAATGTG